CCACACCGCCGTACCACCATCCCTTACTATCATAAAGAGCGTACCGTGTCCGCTAATAGTACGTACTGCTGAGACTACTCATAATAGAATTTGAGACACGTCCACGAACCATGACCCTATAGCGCGATCAGTAAAAGTTACTATGCTACGTAACCTCAAAACCCTCCATAATGCATCTAGTATTCAATAAGTCCACGGACGCAAACATAAGTTAATCTACAGCCGCCCGTCTAGACAGATCAATACTCATTGTAGTTTGAGCGTTTGACATAGTGAGTAGCTTCATTTCCAATTAAACCAACAAGAAGGCGACAAGACATTTTTAATAGTGAACGACAGAAACGAAGAAGGCTCATTTTTCGTTACATAGAGCTGCATAATTAACAAATTAAATTAACTGAGATTATTATAATTATTATTTGAGTTCATAATATTTTTCTTCTATACTGCTTTACATGTGTAACCATGTCGGCTCCATGCTTCAATTTTAAAATCTAAAATCTCAAAAGTTGCGAGTACATCTTATTAAGGAAAGTAACACTGATACATTAATAATTATCATCATACGGCCCATATTTGTTCATTGAAAAAACCAATAACCATGATATAGTACCCTACAGGTTTTTTTTTTATTTCGATTTAGCTATCTAAGCAAATATAATAATCAAATCTAACCTATAACATAACTACGTACATCCTTATATATTGTTAAAATGCCGCGCGGCCTGAATCATACCTTCAATACTATGAGAACCATAACGCGACATCAATAACCATATTGCAGAATTCAATCATATCCATATCTATATCCATTATCTCCACACCTGGTATTACAACAAGTGGTCTCGTTATAGAAATACATCTCATATTCCAAAAAAGACATTCAAATTGAAAATACTAACTAATACATATACATAAAAATAACATGCTAATATGCCCGATGAACGAGCTAGCTCTCACATGTCTCTCAGCCGTCTAGTAACACCCGCATCTACCTACGGCTTCACCTGCAATATCATTGTCCGTAATATCTCTCTAAAAATCGCAGATAACACATTATTTGCATGCTATATACCACCCATGCCCCCGTTAATTTGCTATAGACACAATATATTTCACGTCATGGCTGATAATTGAAAACAAAATCAATAATACAATATATGACATTACATAAGCTCGGTTACAGCAGGCACGTCGCAGATATTCGTACGGCATTCTAATATTCCCGAAAGATATCTGTCACAATCTAGTCTAGCTCGCTCCAACGCATAGGATTATAAATGCCATGGTAGAATTCTATTTTTTTCTAGCAGCATGAAAACAACGGGGTGGCCGCGTGAGAATATATATATATTATAGTATATATATTATACTATCATCTTACAGTCTCCTTACGACAAACTTTTAAGATTTTAAATATAACCCGTTTTAAGCTGCGATAATGGAAATTTGCGAGAAATTATTATGTATACACGTAGGCAATACAGTAACATAAAGTATATCTGCCCTAGAGCCAGCAGATACCATAACATTCGCATTGAATTTATAACCTAACTATAGCCTAAATTGTTCGACCGAAGCAATTTTCCATCTATCCTCTTTCCAATCGATCGACCAGCTCATCATTCAATAGCAGCCTGAGCTCGCCGCAATACTAGTAAAAATAAACTCATGATCTTATTTTAATCAGACCTGCTTAATCCGCCGAGACGCGGCGCGTGACAGTAGAAGTGAAAAAAAGAAATGACGTGTCGGTCGCACGAAAGGTAGACCTCCACCCAATGTACAAGCTGAGCATACGGAGAGTGCTAACACTGACAAGTACGTGCCACGCACTTGGCATCACGAAAAAATTCTTCGCATCGTTATTCTCAAACTGTCGACTTTGCTGTAAACGAGGGGGACAGCCTCGCGCGACTGCGTAAACGCCTAGCGTAACAAGGTGAAATGACATCCTGAAACCGGCCGACAGCAAGGAAATCAAAACGCGTAACTGCACTTACTATCGCTCACACCCACCCGGCGAGCCACTCGCCACTACAACGACGCCACAGCGCGCGCCGTAATGGATCTGTTGTTATGGGCCACAGTCCACCTGAATGTCTCGAAACATACGCACAACGAGCACGCGGCTACAACTACACACGAATGATCACTCCATCAGCTACGATTCTAGCCGACCCACACTTACTGGCCGTTATTCGACCAAGCACACTCAACACACATCGACAACATCCGCGCGCCGCAGTACACAATCACAAAACGAGTTATGTACACACGACAAACACACACACCAAGAAAATACCGCCCGCACATGCAGCAAACGCGCAACGCAGAGAGGAACAGCACGCAGCCAGCACACACACCACAAACACATTCCACCGCACACGCGATTGCACTACCACAAGAACGCATGCGCGCATACACAGAGAGAGAGAGAAGAGAGACCCGCACACGCCACGCACGACACGCAACGCACGCACCGCACACAACGCGCGCACAACACACGCACAACGCACACACAACCACA